GTAAGTACGGCTGCCTGCGAGGCAAGCACGAGCTGAACAGATTGCGTTAAACCCCTCCAAGAGGGATCCCTGTTTTGCTGGCGTGCAGGGACAAGCTGCAATGCTGTGCTAATAAGCCCAAGCTCCTACTGCAAATAGTTTACAGCTGAGGGCACGCTCACTTTGTTTTCTGGCTTCATGGGGAAGGTTTAAAGGGTTTTACGGTGAGTTTAAAGCAGGTTTAATTCTGCTAGCGCTGGTGCAAACCAGGCGTGGATCAAACAACTGCAGCGTAAACACAGAGTCCGTTTTCAAAACTCCTCAATCTTTTTAGGGAGATACATATAAATTTGGATTATCACTGAAGGGAACATGCCCAAGTGAACATTATTATCCAAAAGTTTCTATCAATCAGCCTGATTCAGAAAAAATCCTTCTCTTCCTTCTCTTTACTCATTTTTAAAGTTCACTGGCCGCAATTCAAACAGCAAAACACATAATGAAATAAATGGGGCAAACTCAAACAGCCAAAAGCGTAATGAAATAAATCAGACAAATTCCTTGAACTGCACCTAACATGAAAATGAATCTCAGCTGCTTATTAGAGGCCGCCCAGCGGGGGACGTGGGCAAATTAAATCACGGGAAGTAGAGGAAGGCATGGAAAAAAGGTCGATTATCTAAATCTCCTCTTTATTAACTGCAAAATATTTTTTCAAGATTGAAGGTAGCAAAACATGTTAGTGGCAAATGGCAAAGCCCTTTATGCACTTAAAGTAAAAAGCAAGGAGTTGAGCAGAGCAGAGGAATGGGTAAACAAGGAATATACCACTTTATTTTCAGGGTGGGTTAGCAGTGAGTAATTCTCACCCGACGTACGTCCAGGTGCTTGCTTCCTTACTCTCTCTGGCAAAATTTAAGCTTGGTTTCCCCAGGTTAATTCAGATTTTTCTGAGGATTCAAGTGCTAGTCATCTGGGAAAATGACAGGTAAGTTCTCAGCAGCTCACCGCCAGAAAGGGAGGTAATGGCGAGTATGAACCTGAGCCCGCTACTGTTTTGTGTTTCCATTCATGATTTGGGGGAGGGACGAGACTGTGGTTATTCGATGTGCAGCTGGGAGGGACTTGAGCACAACAGAGGACAGAATTATAATTCAACGGGACAAGGGAAGTAGTCTGGGCAAAGCCCGTGGTTTGTGGTCAGTGGTCACGCTGGCGAGCCAAGGCAAGCGGCGTGGGGTCTTGGTGGGGCGAAGGACTGGGGTCCCGGCTGCGCTGGGAGCCAGGAGACCTCAGCGGGTGGGAGGCTTTCGCTCTTGGCTGCTGCACTTCAACAACAACAGGGCTTGGCTGGAGACAGTCCAAAGGGAGCTACAAAAATAACGAGGTGGCTGGGACGTAACCTCTGAGGGAAAGTCAGATCTGATTGTAAGAGGTGCGGTGTGGTCCTTAAGCCCAGGACCCACGAGAAGGAAGAGGACCTCTTTTTCCTTCCCAGTTAGGACAAGATGTGGTGGACTTAAACTGCAGTTTAAGAGGGGATGAGCACGTCTTTGTGCACTTTTCAAGGCATAGCCCAACGTTTCCTGGTAGCATGCTCTGCCTCCCCCGCTCCTGACTCTGAGTAAGCCGGGTTTAGCACAACATCCATTCCAGTAACTCACGTGGCTTCTGTGAATTAACTACTTAGCCCATGGGAATCATACCATTATCTTCAGAGGAACTAGAAAAATAAAGAGTGCATTTATAAGGTTTTTATTGTTTTCACCCCACAATCAGCATTCCCTTTAAGAACATCAAAAGCTTAAAAAAACAGATAGAGACATCTGCCAGCATCTCTGGAGATGTGTGTTGCACTTTCTTCTAATCCAGACCAAGTCTATGGAGCCTCTCTATGCCTTCAATAAATAGGGGAATTTTTCTTTTATTTAAGAACCGTCTAAAGACTCTTTTACTGGGTTTTAACAGAGCCCTGTGTCAGCACAGTTAAAAAATGTTGGCATTTCCTCTGTGCAGATTAAAGATGATATATCACCCTTTGCTTCTCAAACCTGATTTACAGCTTCTATCGCAAAACTGCATAATACTTTTTTAAGTGCTCTAAGGCGAAGTAGCAGGGCCGAGGATGAGGAGCAAAGTCCAAGTGTGCACCGGTTTTTACCTCTCCAGCATTTGTTATTCCATCTCTAGGTCTGCAAGAAGAGCTGCAGGGAGCAACCTGTCCCCTCCTGCACCCTGGAGCAACGTGTCCCCTCCTGCACCCTTCCGACCCCCAGCATGGCATCGCCCATGAGGAGCTTGCTCACCGACCCTTCCAGATACGTCCAGTCTTTCCGCCTCTTCCTCACGAATTCAACAGAGCACCAGTGCATGCGGGAGTTCATGGAGGGGCAGCTGCCGGCCGTGATAGCGAGGTAACATGGAGGTAGCCACATCGAGCTGAAGGACAGCCCGGGGCATGGTCCTGCGGCGGTGATGGGCTCGGCCGGGCTCGGGGGGCTGCCTGCAAGCGGCAGATTGGTGTTCCCTGCCAGCCGCCCCGTCTGTAGGTCTCTGATAGGGCTTGGCTGGAGATTTCATTTGTACACGCTGCTGAACGGCTGTTCTTCGGGAAGGATCCTGCCTAGCAGGGAGGAGATAAGGCTGAATTGTTGCCTTGCATGCAAATATAGCTTACCCCGAATCAATTCTAAAATGCAATAACAGATATTACCTTCTAACATTAAATTTGATTGAAAGCATCTTTTTAAAAGTAATCTTTTCAAAAGTAATCTTTTCAGGTAATATTTAGGCTCTCTCTAGTATGTATAAACAACGCTTCTGCTTTGCCTGCTGTGCGTGTTTTTCGCTGGACCCCTTGCTTTGCGGGCTGGCTTGGGCAGCAGGCAGCTGGGCTCAAATCCTGGTTCTGGGGATGCCTTTCCCTGGGCCCAGGGGTTTATGGCTCTGCCAAAGTCTCACTAAGGGATTTTAAACACGTTATGCTCTCCCCTCTTCCTCCCCATTTTGCAAAATGTAAAACTTCAAATAATTTTTAAGCTGCTGGTCCAGACCCAGGGAGGTCTCTGGTCCTCGAAGCACAGACATGAGAAGGCATGTAACTGCTGCTGCTTGTACGCACTCGTAATAAAAGCAGAACTCCTCCACAAATTGCCAAAATAACTGGAAATCAGTGCTTCACAAACTGGATGTAACCCTCTCTACCGGGTAGCTCTCCTAAAATGTATAAATAATGTTTTTCAGTATTGGAAATGGGAAGTCTACAATCAATATTCTAAGTGTTGGTGGCGGAGCAGGTATGCTATGAACTTCAGTATTGATATGCTTTTCCCCTTTTTTTCAAAGAATAGAGGATTACAAATTGCAGAAAGGAGCAGAGTGGGAAATAAGTCTTTTCTTGAAAAATCAGCTCCAGGAGCAGACGGAGTTAGCTGCTGTGTGGCCACATCGTCTGAAAACAGCTTGTACCTCCCCACCCCGATTCTTGTATGTCCTCCACGAGAAACTGCCTTCTGCACCATCACTCAAGTGCAGAGAGAGAGGCTTGAACCACCCCATAGTGTTTCTGTGCAAAAAAAGCACCATAATGTCTTAGATGCGTCAGAATATTAAATTTTTACTTGCATTGCAATTATTCTCCCCTGTAACTATTTACTGATGTAGTAACTCCTCATCATTGCTGCCTCCTGCCCTGTTAGGTGACAGCCTCGGCTGACCTCTGTTTTGCCTGTACGTACTTGCTGACCACAGTCAATGCACAAGACCGTCCTGGAGCTACTGTCCCCCAAAACACTGGAGCTGAACATAAGCTCCAGAAGAAATCCAGAAGAAATCAGAGGAAATAAGTCTGCTATCTGAAGTTCACTAGGTGGAGAAACAATACCAATAACATCAAGTGGCTTCTTCTCATTAAATTCTTGCTTAAGTTTCCCCATAATTAAAGCCTATGTTTTCTAATTCTGCTCTGCCCATTAAGTCATCAAACTTAAATTTTATAAGAATAGTTAATTTAGTTTAAATGCTTTAGTCATACCATCTCCAAAGACTAATCTCAGCTTTGTCAATCTCTCCTAATAAGTAAAAATAGTTGTATGTAAATGGTGGGTGTTAGTTATAAAACAGACAGTGTGACAGAGTAGGAACATTGCTCTCCAAACAAGGGAAACCATTCTTCTGCCAAAAAAAAATGTTGCTTTTAACAGGAACACTTTACTTAGTGAGGTACTTTACTCCCTAACCAGGGATGCTCCAGCTTAGCATGATGGATATTCAATCAATAATGTGCAGGCAATGCTCATTTTGTGATGTAAAAAAACCTCAGCACCACCAAAACCCTGCCTCTTGCGGGCTTGTTCGCACCATAGGTCCTTGGGGGGTCAGGAGGCAGCAAATTCCCACATCCCCCCAACTAACCCCGGCAAGGGAGCTGCCCTGGCCCCGTCCGCACCTGCGCCTCGCAGGGAGGGAGCACGGAAGGAAAGCCTTTCCTTTCCACTTTTCCACCTCGAGAGACAAGCAAACCATTTAATGTAGCATCATATCCCATTACACCCGCCCATCTACAGCGCCTGCCTTCGCCTACAGCCTCTGCCTTATTAAGTTCACACTCCGGCGCGCAGCACTCTGTACCTTTAAAAACCATAAAAGTCATCAACGCTGCTATAAAGTAGCAACTGTGCTATAAACTATCCCGTTACGTAAAATGTTTAATTAGAAACTTAATGGTGAACATAGTGGTAGCCTTTAAAAGGTAATTGTGTTGGAGAGTTTAAATAATTCGGATAGCCTAATTGCCAAATTGTTGCTAATGCAAGCTGCCACAGATTTGACTGTAAAATGCCTCAGGACACTTGTTTGCATATAAAAGAGCTAACTGAAGTCAATTAAGGCTGTGGATTAAATTATGAATCAAAGAGGTGTTTTTTTTGGTTAAAAACAATACCAGGGTGGTTGGGCCACAGAAGAGTGGAAGGGGATATATTAACCTATCCACATATGGAAATGCAAAATTCAATTTTTTTTTATCAGGACCTGCACAGCCTTTTCAAAGGGCTAATCCATTTTACAGAAAGTTGGTAAAGCAACCAAAATAAAAAATATTGCAGTAGTTCATTAAAAATTCTGTATTCCCAGATTGTACCACGGCAGCCTGCAGATGACTAACCTTGCTCTGATTTTTCAAGAGAATACAGCGTTTGCAGTGATAGCAAAGCTGCAGCTATTTCTGCTACTTCAGAAATCCAATTTCCCTCTTTCAAAGAACGTGCTTGCACAGATGCCACATAAATTGTGGTGTTATTAGTTGCTTTAAGAAAGACACATAAGTCTGAAAAGATTGAATGTTTTGGGTAAATTCTCGGGGCGTTAATGAGCGGGTGAGACCTGGGCTGGGGTACCTGATTTTGACCCATGGTGATGTGTGGTGGGGCCAGAAGCAGGCAGAGAGCTCTTTGTAGTGAAAAGAACCCTCCCGGGGGATGACCTGGTGTGCTGGATTGAGCTCTGGGGTACTCATCGTGGCTATTTAATCCCTAATATTTTCCTTTTGTACCTTAAATCTTCTGGAAAATGGAGCTAATGCTGAAGGGGCTGGTGGGAGCCCAGGGGCACTGAAAATCAGGAGGATGGGCAGAGGTCGTGCAAATACAACGAGAGCACTCCCTCCACAGTCCCTCAGCAAGGGCCTGTCTGGCCATCAGGGTTTGCTGGGTGATCTTCCATTCAGTACATAATCTTGTTCATTTGTAGGGAATTTTATAACGTGGTGTTGTGTGCAAGCACAAGTACATCTTTCAGGACAAAGCCAGTATTTGTCTGTAACATGACCCCTGTGTCTATTTTTCACCACAGTTACCCTCTGCTTCACTCTTTCTACCTTAATTTCTTCTTCTATTATTTTTTTCCACCTAAAATTTATTCAAGCACAATAAGCAGAATTGAGCCCTAAGAAAGCTAAGCAAGCCAGCACGATGTTGTCCCTGGACCCGTGCTTCAGTCAGGAGCACCATCTCCCCGAGCTTCCTATATTGCGGGTGGGGAGGGGTGGTCAAGAGCGATGGCATCTCTTTTTAAATTTTGAAATGTTGCGTTTGTTGGTACTTCCATCGGTAAAATAATTGCAGCCGGCCTGAACAGTGTTCAGAGAGAGCTATTCCTCACAAAGAAAGTACAGTCAGCTCCGGGGTATTCTGTAGACAGGGGTTAGATAAACATAAATGGTATGTGCACTATTCATCATACTTATGGAAGAAGTCACACGACACTAAAGACAAACAGACAAATGTTTCTGATTCCAGTGTAAACACATATTCTCTTCTCCCTCACCCACATGACCTGGTAACCAGTGAGATGCTTGGCTAAAAATGCTCTTACTGACTCCTAAGAAATCCTGCCAGGTTTGCTGGTGACTTGGGACCATCAGAACTGGTACCATCAGAGCCATTTAGGATCTTTCCCGGGACGTTAGGCCATGTCCAGAAAATATGAGGTCACGCCCTTTACATGACTGTGTCTGCTTTTCCCTTGGCACTGATGGTGGGAGTCAGAGAGGAGGAATGAAGATAGTTGGGACTGATATTTAAATTGTTCTCAAATCCTAGAGCTAAACCCTCAATGGCAATCTGCTGAGAATACAGAGCAGCTACACGTACCCGTGTGGTACATTTTCTGTACATGAATGGCAGGCATCAGTCTTCAAAACTGGGGATGTGATGGTAGTGGAGAAAACATTTGCCTGAGCTTTGCTTTCATCTTGTATTTCATGTTGCCTGCTTCCCTAGGTGAGATTGACCTGCTGATCCTCTCAAAAGTACAAGCCAGATATCCAGGGGTCACCATCAGCAACGATGTGATAGAGCCAAGTGCTGACCAAATCTTCAAGTACAAAGGTATTTTTACATTAAATAAATTAAATTTACATTAAGTACGCTAAGTGCATTAAAAAGAGTTGAACTCTGGATGACCCCACATTCAAATGCATTCTTGTCAGAATTGGTTCTTAAAAGTCAAAAAAAGTCACTATTTTATGCTTTTTTGCCATCATTGCTTTTCAACAATGCTCAGCCTCTCATTCAAATCTTAGTCCCTCACACTGCAAAGAACTCTGCGTGGCAAACGCTTTGGACTAGACAGATTTTAAAAGCTAAGCAAGGTGGGAACTGGTGGGTGATTGTATGGACATAGAGTAAAATCCTCACATTTCAGAGAGAAAGTTTTTCTCCTTCAACTTGCACTGAATCAGGATCCTTCCTCAACTTCAAAGGGAAAATTTTAGTGTCTCATGGTAATTCTTACGTATCTTAAAAATAATTTCCAAATAACAAATAGCTAAACCTCACAGTGGTGCACTAAATTAGTTACCATCCTTTGAATTTGAGAACATGGAAAGGAAAGCAAGGTGGATAGGAAAGGCCTTTGCTGTGTGCTCCATGGCTTAGAGCTTGTTTCCTTCCAGCAGCCCAAAGGTCTGAGCAACATTCATGAAGGAAAGCCAAGCATTTTCCAAGGAGGATTGAATGTTAGCAGGGGTGCTTTGGTCAAATTGCCCTACAAAGCGAGCATTAAATATCAATCCACAGTATGATTATCACTGGATTAACACCTACCAGGCTTTACCTTAGCAGGTAATTACGGTCTTGTACGGAGGTGACACTAGCTACACCACACAGGCTGTGAGCAGCCCCGAGCAGAGCACACCTTGCCAGAAAGCGGCTGCTGAATGGACGTGGCAGTAATGAATGAACCTCGTCAGCAGTCTGCGTTGTTGGAAATGCTCCAAACCATAGTAAAAATCAGACTGCAAAACCACGCTGTAAATCTCCAACTCTTACTCTTGCTTAAGTCCTTAAAAACGAAGCATTCCCCATATGAAGCAACTTGTGGAAGTCTAAAAAAAAGATAGCAGTAGTAACAATCCCTTTCTCCCTGCAGTGGGGGAGTTCAGAGTCACTGGAAGCATGAAAGGCTCCCAGGAAACACATCTTTTTTTTATATCTGCCTCTGTATTACATGGACCTGATCTTTGAAAAGACGGCTCGTGGTAAAACCCAGGAGCTTTCACATTGCTCCAGGCTGAGATGGTGAAGGATGGGCAACAGAGCATCTGCTCTGTTTATAAGACAGTTTGGGCACTTGCACATAGCATTTCTGTCCTGTCTGGGCCATTAACCACAGGCTACGTGGGACTGGATTTGCACTGAATCTTCCTGGTGGTCTCACCACCTACTACCAATTAACTGGCAGTCCTATCCTACTTCAGTGAGTTTCTTTCCAGAAGAAAGTTAAACAAAATGTAAGATGTTGTCCTTATTTTAAGTTTTATGCTAAACTAGAAATGAAATATTCATCTGAATTTCTTTCTTTAAACTTTCTTATTTGGTAATTAATCATGTCCCCAGTAGGTATCATTAATTAGGTTTCTGAGCCCTAAGTTTTTCCGGGGAGAATTGGAAACATTATCTGTGCCTCTGAGGATTCAGTAGTTATGTTTTCTGCCTAACCAGATACTTTCTCCTTGGGAAGGAGAAGCCACGCTCACAAGAGAAACTTCGTAGTGGGACGTGCAGTGATGACAAACTGAGGTTTACCTTAGGTTGCATCGTACGACGGAGGCTCTCCTCAAAGTCCCATGGCCAGGCTGTGGCTTTCCTTCATTCCTGGTCCATGTCCAGGTGAAGCCCTTTGGTGACCGTGGTTGGAGCGTCAGCCACACCACAACTGAGCTGCGCTGCCATTGCCTGCACAGCACAGCACAACTGCAGGCAGTCTGGTTTTGATGGCACCCGTCAGGGGCACGTGACAGGCTTCTGACACAGACAACAATCTGGGTTGAGCCCAGGAGGAAATCGAGGAAAACTTTTCAAAACAGTTAGGGTGATATGTTTTGGCTTCAGATGAATCTTTGGGCAGAAACTTCCCATAATCAGAATGAGTTTGCCCCTTCTGAAATTTTGACTTTAAAAGCCCACCCTGGCAAGCAATTCCGTTTTCTTCCTAGTGTCTCCTCGCAGACTGTCTAGCAATTGAACTGAACCAGATTGCACCAGATTATTTGTGATGGTGATATGAACTGCTGCTGAATGAAGCCTGAGTTTAAAACAGCAAATTAAATCTGAACTGCAAGCACTGGGGCCAGTGACTGATAAATGGAAACGAACAGAGTAACAGCAGCAGCATCTGAAAGGGGTGGCCCATTTCCAGCCATAAAAGAGAGGAGATAAGCACTGATGGAGCATTTCTCATCTGTCCAACGGGGATATGTCCTAATCAGAGCCCAAAAGGAGAAACACTGTGATTAGTGATGTAAAAGCGCTGGTCTTAGCAAATCATGTTGTTTTGAACATGTGTTCTGTAGCTAAGGCTCAGTCTGCCTTTGGGCCATTTAAGTTTTAAATTTATGTTAACTCCAGTGAAGCACAGGAATCGCATCAGGGGTAGCTTTGTCCTGGAGCAATCCCGAGCGCCAGGCAGGAGCGCAGTCAGATGAGCTCTATATGCCAGCAGATGGACATTAGTATTCTGGCATCCCCTAAATTATGAAATTATCTCTCAGTTTTGCTCCCATAAAAAGCAAAGAAACACAGTGATGAGCCAGGCCCTCATTACAACTTATTCCTTGAATCCATTTCTCCAGCTTTCTGCTTTCCTTAGTTGCTGGATGTGCATTGTATCGAGGTCTGAAAACACTCCATGTGTCACTCCTTATACTAGTCTTTGCTTTAAAACACTGTTATCCCTTTTACCTGAAGCAGTTAGCCAAAACTGTGGGCTTTTGAAAAATTATTTGAACACAGCAGAAGCCAAATGTCAAGATATGTGTCCTCGCTCACGGAGAAAAGCTCCTCCCCTCTCCCACCATCCCCGTGATGCATTCCCAGAGTAAGCCATTTCTTTCTCTGCCCTTCTCGAGCTTTTAATTGTGCTTTCTCTCCAAAACACAGTCCCCTTGATCCATCCTCACACCTCTGTATTTATTTGGTCAGTCTCTGGAAAACTCTTTGCCATGGCCTGGCTTCTGCTCAGCCATGTGCGTCTTGCACGGCACCTAAGCGAAGGGGCCACCAGCTCTTCTCCCATTCAGCATGAAATGTGCTGCTCGTGGCCTCATAACTGTTTATCCCAGCCAACATCTTTTAATGCAGCTTGAGCCGGTCATGGGGAAGACTTTCTTTCTTTTTTTTCATCAGGTAAAGACTGGAGGAGCCCAAATGAGGGTGCAAAGAGTAAAACATCAGACCTTCTTAAGACTTCATCCTACAAAGACCTTTACAGCCCCCTTCTCACATACAGGCTCAAGGTTTTAAATATTCCACTGCTGTGTTAATCTGGTACCAAAAGTCTCTACCTAAATGTGACTTTTGGATGTATTAAAGCTCTGAATGGAAGCTGGTCCCGTATTTGCAATTGAGATAACTCTGTCCTGCCTTCTCCCATATTTCAGAGCGTGTGGCTGAGACATCAAACCTCGAGAACGTAAAGTTTACCTGGCATGAGGAGACAGCTTATGAATATGAAAGTCGAATGAATGCAGAAAAGAAGTCTAAAAAATGGGACTTCATTCACATGATCCAGGTAAAAATCTCTGCAAAGTAAATGTTGTCAAAGACTTGGCTGCTAAAAGTATGCATGAAGTATGTGACTTCATTATCCACTCTAAGGGGAAGAAAGGTGAGTTTATTTCCCTGTAATTTAAAGTACTTAAGCGTAAGTGAACTGCAAAAATGAAAGATGAGTTACAGCAAAGCAACTCTGAGCACAGTAGTCCTATTAACCAGGCTGTGGGTGGCAGTCAACTAAAAATACATTTTAACTAGTGTTTTCAAAGCTCCTTGTCCTCTCTGTGAAATTGCCTTTGTATTTCCAAGTTTACTGAAGCTATTACAAGCCATCTTCACTGCTAAGAAAGGCAAATCTTTTTATCTTAGGTTAATGAATGAACATGAGCTTGGTCCTGGGAGAGCCAGAGAGCAGGCAAGGCAGTGACAGCCCCGAGCTTGCTGCGTGAGCCTACTACCCGGTGTTGTGCTAATGTGTCTTGTCATCCCGCTGCTCTTCTCTCAAGATTGCCCCCATTTGGTTTCTTTTACCTAGTGGTAGCAGTTATAACATTCACCAGGACCGCACCGTATCTCTGTAAGCATCTCTGCTCTTTCCAGGTGTTGTATTATGTGAAAGATGTCCCAGCGACTATCCGGTATTTCCACGGCCTCCTGGAAGCGCAGGGGAAGCTCCTCATTATCCTGGTGTCAGGTGAGAGCTGCTCCACCAGCGCTGCTCAGTCAGGGAAGAGCCCTGAGGACCTTTGGGGTTCCTGCGAGTTCAACTCAGGCCAGCTAGAAACCAACGCACATTTTTATTTTAACATCCTTTATCACCTATAGAGGTGAACTGGCTGCATAATAAATGGTGTCCACTCATCTACAACCATTGAAATCTGCACGCTATCTCTATCTGTGCAGCTCCATGCTGCAGGTTGTAAAGCCAAAGGCTTTGTGAATCAACAATGCCTTTCTCTTGCCCTCTGCCCTTCCCCATCCTGCAGCCTGGCCAGTGATGGATGGCAGCAGAGAGCCCTGAAGCAGTCAAGAGGCTCCATCCCGTGGCTCTCACTCGCAAGAGCTCCTTCAGCCTCTGCTATTTTCTGTAAAAGGCTTTTCAGGCTGGGCACCACATTATCTCACTCCTGGAGACTTGCGGCATTAAGCAAATGGCTACGGCGGGGCTCGGCTGCGCCACACAGCAGGTGTTAGAGCACATATGTTTCATTTTCTTCTCAAACTGCCCATTTCCTTAATATCATCATTTTGGGTGGAAAACAGCATTCTTAGGCTGTTTCAGATCTCAAAGAGATGCTCTGTGGTCAATCCAGCAGGAAATATGGGAGCGGAGTAAACGATGACCTTTTAATACTGTGGGCAAGGTGTGCTGGAGATACGGCAATGGTGGGGCATAGTTTGACTCTAGAAAGCCTTTAATTTGCCTCACAAGCTATGGAAATTTTATTTGTGTAAACGGTCACATGTAATAGTTTTGTCAGGGACGTTAAGTGTTATTTGTTCAGACGCTGTAGCTTAATTTTTTATTGAATTTGGCCATGTCTGCAAACTGTAATGTGTTTGGTGAAGGTCATTTTTTGTGTTCATGAAGTGTCCACAGCGAAGTGGCACTTCTCTGACCTGAATTTATTCAAACTATTTTTCTCCACAATGTTTTCAGTTTAAAGTATTTTCAGGCAGTTCACTACAAGAAATCTGTATTTTAAATGATCTGAGTTACTGTTCTTGTTCTTTGGCTGCAAGAGAATAGATCATAATATCAGACTATTGCTGATTACCTGCGTATGGCTAATTGAAACTCTTTTCCAGTTGCTTAACCTGTCCCTTTGGATATTCATGAAATGTGAATACAGGGAGGAACGTGTGTCTATTCAAAATTAATGTGATTAAAACTCTGAATTCATGAAAAGTATTTGAAGTCCTCTCTGGGCCAGGCAACTCTGTGTTTTCTGATGGAGCAGAATGGAACAGAAAATGCTGGGGCCAGCAAGAAAATGGGAGAGAGGAGTAGGGCTCAGAGTAGCAGAGAGGAAAGGAAGGGGGAAACCTTGGGGGAAAGAAGAGTATAGAGAGCGGAAGGAAGAAGTGCTATGAAAATGAGCACTGAAGCAAAAAGAGGTACTGAAAGATAAGCGGAGCAAAGCTAATTTCAAAAAATGAAGGTAATGTCATCTCCAACACAAACACATTAGGATGTGTTAATTAAAAACCAGTCTGGGAAGAGGATTGATAGGAGAGGGCTTGGTCAGCTGGTAAAGCTTGCAGTCCTCCCTGCTCCGTCCCTGCCGGGAGAGCAGGCGAGTTGCAAGAGCTATGCAGCATTATTTTTAACACTTTTAAAAAATCTGTTTACATCGCCTTGAAAACAAAAGTAGTGCCATATGCTGAGCCTATTGAGAGCTATTATAATAATGCTTCATTCAGGTAGTGTATAATTGCTCGGCTCAGAGATGGCACTGAGTCACACAACACTGACACCAGCAAATTTTCTGCAATTAGTGCTTTGCATTCAGTTTCCACCAGGTGAAAGAAAATATTGTGGCCCCTCTTATAAACACCAAGCTGTTTATTTGACTATAAATAACTGTTTGCAGAGAAAGCATTTGCAAAACTGCCGAGCAACTGGTTTTAGTAGTTATGGAGATTTATTGTCATAACTCTCAAGAGCTGCTCATTAGGCTCCAAGTTATTTTCATCCCATCCAGTCATTCTGGGTGATCCTTTTATAAATGATTTATAGCAGATATGCTGAATCACAGATCCAGGGTGAGGCAAAATAAAGATGTGAAGACGTATCTGGGGAATTTTCAGCTTACCCAGCTGGTTTTCTTTGTAAAACATTCCGTGAGAAGAGGTGCGTGCACAGGCATGGGCTTGGCATGGGCTTAGTTCTGGAGGTGACTGCGGTGCAGCAGGAGCCTTTTCCTTCCTCACCCTTCATCTTTGCACACCCAAATAGTACACAGCCAAAACGTCCTTCTAGCACCACTGGGGAGGTCTGCTTGGGGTGAGGGGCAGCCCTCTCATTGCCCATGCCCAACAGCATGTAAGCGTGTCGGGAGCGAAGGCTGAAGCCTGGGAGGATGGTGCAGCTTCACCCTGGGCCATGTCCATCCCACCCTTTTCTCCACCACACATCCAGCCACGTGGACAATGTGATCAGGGTTTTGCATCCCACGTATTTCACATAGCAGAGAGATAGGTTACCGGCAATAAGTGTTTCAATGAAGCTCACATGTAGCTCAACCACAAAGCAATGAGGTGAAGGAATAGGAGAGGATTTGGTCTTCCAAACAGGCAGCTGAAATCTAGGGAACAGTTTAAATCAAGAAGGTGGCACTGAATAGCTAGTGTTCAGCATGTGGACTATAGAAGGATGTCCCTGAGAGATATTGCCTATCTGCATGAAGCAGAGGGGTGCAGCGTGTTGGGAGTGGAAGGGAGGAGGATTGAGTGCACTGAGCTGCTCTGGCCTCAGCTGGGGGCTCAGTGGGAGGCACTGGAGCTCCTGGGTAGGTAACGTGTCCATCCCCTCCTGCAGCCCCCAACCCCACAGAAGCAGGGAGGCAGCCGTCCCCACCATGCCCCAGGACGCATGTCCCAACTCTGGGGAGACCCCGCTTGCAACAAGCGCAACAGCTAAAAAACCCAGATGATCAAAAATTTGTTCAAATAGTGTTCTTCCTTGTTCCCGAACATTTTGCTGGTGGTTTATCTCTCAGGAACCAGTGGCTGGGAAATGCTGTGGAAGAAGTATGGGTCTTCCTTCCCTTTAGATGATCTCTGCTTATATGTTTCCTCTGCTGACATCAAAAGGATACTGGATTCCGCCGGGCTGAAGTACCAGCTCCATGAGCTCCCATCCCACATGGACATAACGAGCTGCTTTATTGAAGGGAACAAGAATGGGGAGCTGTTGCTGGATTTCCTGACAGAAACTTGCGAGTTTTCTAAAACTGCTCCTCCTGAACTAAAGCGTCAGGTAATGGAAGAGTTAAGAAAGCCTGAATGCAGTGAAGAAAGAGATGGGAAGGTGCTTTTTAATAACAACTTGAGTGTAATAGTGATTGAGCCATGACTTAACCTCTTCTTGCTTCTTGATCCAAAGCGAAAAGTCAGGTACAAACTGTTAACAGCTGAAATATGTTTTTCATACTTTATAAATGGCTTAGTTTACTTCAGTACTGATATATAACTTTTGGAGCCTGTTAAGAAATCAGTATTAATATCTGTTGTTATAAGTGAGCTTTAATATGTGATTAATTCTGTACTAATCTATGAATGTGTAACTCACTAAGCAGTTAATTGTGCTTTATCGTTTGAATGTTGTATAGTCAGATTAACTTGGACCGTCCACTCAGGCACTGCAGAAACCTGACCATTTGCTAGAAAATAATCAAGAACTATACATGGTTTCATCATCTTCATTTAAAAACTCTCTACAGACCAACTCTCTTACAACTTCTCAGTGCAGCTGGCAAGAGTGGAGGCTCAGAACGACCAACCATTTGGGTGGCTGCTCAATGGGATCTCTTGAGCTTGCTGCGACTTCAAGACATCATATCTCCAGTTGCTCTAAAAGTGGCCTGACACTTTCTGCGCGTGCAATGGTTGCCTGTTCCTGCCTCTGGAGCCCACTCCACTTAATGGCAGTGCTTCCCTCTCCCTGTATTTTCACTTTATTTTTATGATGTTACGTCTGCAGAGCAATTTGTGGACAGGTCCATACTGGCACTGCAAGAGCGAAGCGGTTGAAGATGGTTGAGGCACAGCAGTAGTAACAACCGTCCTGGAGAGGTGGATTTCACTAACGAGCCCAGATGCAAAGCCTTTGTTAGGAATCAGCTGCTGCTGTCACATAGCGCTTTTTGGTATTTTCAGCTAAACACACAAACCTCCAGGGCACAGCCTTTCACTAGCCTGGCAGCAAGGGCCATGCATGGCTTGTGAGCTTTGTAACACGGAAGATGTAAAAATGAACTCTGATGCCAAACTGACAGGTTTCAGTGGGATTTGTTTCATTTTCAATGGGGTCAAGTCAGGTAAATCAGTCCAATAGGTAGTATAGGATGTTCAGCAAGAAGGTGCTTCACCTCCTCGGTCCCTTCTCCTTGTGGGGCTGTCTCCACTCCGGTAGTTGATGCATTTGTTTTGCTAAATGATTTTACGGTTTTAAGACGTGTTATGCTCTCTACAAGGCACAATGCATGGTGGAATACAATATAGTCGCTTGAATGCATTTAATAGTCTGAATACTCAGTTTATCCGGTGACACAGGTGTGATTTCTGCCATTGAAATAATTTGATTCAATGTTGAAATGGTTTACTTTAGGTAATGCTTTAGCTGCAAGAAATTATGTTTCATTTTTGCATATACATTTCTGATACAATATAGATTATTAAAGATTTGAAGTGATTTACAAGAGACCATATTGGGTGTTAATAGCTGTTTATATTCATTTTAGAGTGAATTGTTTGAAACACACTTCTCCTAGCGATCAAACATTAATTCCAGTGTATTTTAGAATGTTTCCATGATATTTCTCAGCTGTTGAACAGAACAAAATCTATTACTGCTTTTACACAGTGCTATGTACAGATTCCTGCATTAGAAGACCTCAGTATATCTGTAAGCTGTTACGGTGACATGCTGAAGTGGGAAAGAAAGAAAATCTCTCATTAGGACAGATTGCTGCATGCATTTCTAACGGCAAACGAAGTTACAATTATTTTCATAGCTCTTTTGTGCTGTCAGTGACCTCTTCTAAATGGTGTGTGTGAAGGAGGTGACCGCTGAATATTGCCACATCAACCTGTCAGGAGTGACATATCTTTGGGAGCCACAGAAATGGCAGAACAAAAAAACCAAAACCCAAATCCAACAACAAAACCCAGCAACAAGATGCACATGCAGGTCCTCTTGCATTCTGGTTTAGCAGAAGTAAAAAAATACAAGAAAAAAAGCATTCTAGAGTTTTTGGGGGAGGTTTGTTCTGAAAATGTGGGAGAGAGCAGGATAAGGAACAGCAGAGATGATCTGGAGAGAATAGAGGAGGATATGACCACACACACACAAAAAAAGGAGATTCAATGTGAATACACGTGAGAGGTCCTTCCCCTCTGCATCAGAAAGGGAGAGGCCGGGGAGAGGGAGCGCTTGCTGGGTGCGTGGAGTTGCACAGGGTCTTATTTAAAAGCAGAATTCACTGAAGGAAAAGGCACTTTCACCCCAGGCTGGAGAAGAAAACTCCTTATCGAAAACCACACATGTCGGGGCAGTCCTCTGCCACTGCTTTTGCTTCTGAGGAGAATTTTGGGGGTTGTTCAGCCTAGAGAAGAGAAGGCTTTGGGGAGACCTTCTTGCAGCCTGTCAGTACTTCAAGGGGGCTTCTATAAAGAAGATGGGGACAAACTTTTTAGCAGGGCCTGTTGTGACAGGACAAGGGGGAATGGCTTGAAACTGAAAGAGGGTAGATTTAGACGAGATATAAGGAAGAAATGTTTTACGCTGAGGGTGGTGAAGCACTGGCACAGGTTGCCCAGAGAGGTGGTGGATGCCCCATCCCTGGAAACATTCCAGGTCAGGTTGGAGGGGGCTCTGAGCAACCTGATGTAGTTGAAGATGTCCCTGCCCATGGCAGGGGGGTTGGACTAGATGACCTTTAGAGGTCCCTTCCAACCCAAACTAGTCTATGAGTCTATGATTCTATGAATTTCATTAAAAAACTGAGGGGAAAAAATTTATACTAAACTCTGTTCTGTATATGCAGCTGCTTCCGTTAAGGGGCTGGGGGAAAACTGAATCAGAAGAGCACCCTTAAGGAATAAATTATTTGTAATTTTAAATTTGTAACATACACGTTTACAAGAAGTAAGTACTGTAAGTGTTATTTAGCAGGAAATGAGTGTGGGGTAGCACAATTTTATGCTCATTTGACCATAAAAACTGAAGTAGTTTTTGTAAATCTCAAACAACTTCCTCATAGACTGAAGAGCCACATTTTCATGTGAGAATCATCCTTAATTGTACAGTGAGATACTGCTATTCCAGGGCGTGTCTGGGGAGTCCAGCCTGTCCACGGACTGGGATTTATATGGCAATTTTGAGCTTACCTGTGTGCTTTCTGCACTGAACTGTTTTCCTCTCAGAAAGCCTGCCTTATCTCAACCAGCAGAAATTTCTTCCAAAAGCACATCTCCAGACCAGCCTTGCTCTTTGCAAAGCCGCAGCTGGATGTGTGAGCCAGTGGGATGGGTTTTCCTCACTCGCACCCCTAGAAAGTTAATTTATAGGCTTCACACAGAGGTTCGCTGAGAGCAATGGGCTTACACCAGCATAACACTGATTGAAACAAGCTCGGCGTCAGGCTACTTGTATTAAAAATATACCAGAAATGAGCCGGCAAGTTTTTCATGCATGGGTGCCCCTTTCTGGCTGAATATATGTTTCAGATATGAAGAGTAAACATTCTGCAGAAATGTGACTCTGGGTAAATGCAGTCCTTAACATTGCATCTCTACGTTCATCAGAGATGGTTCTGAACAGTGTTTGCTTTTAAACTGGGAGACATCCTTTTTTCTTTTCATTTCACAGGCACATAAACCTGGAATATACAGATTATATTACAGGTACAGGAGAAAAAACCTGGAGGGAGGGAGGAGGAGGAACTCTCCTTTGAAATAGCAGGCAAACAGCCGGGCCTGTGTCCCTCTGATAAGTAAGCGTGAGCTCATGGCTCTGATGCTGCGTCAGGTGATTATTTCCCAAAGTAATTCCCGCGGGAGGTTTGCTGTGCGGGGAAGGGAATAGCCCTGTGTCCGCGGATGAGGCATGGCTTCGGAGCGATGCCATGCGGGAAGGCTGGGGGAGAGCAAAAGCGGGGGAGGAAAAGGCTGACCCCCTCCAAAGGAGCCCGGTCCTCATGTATATATCCCCTCCGCATCAAAAACATCTGCCTGAACAGCCCCAGGGCTGTTACTTTAAATCATACGTAGAAAAAATATTCTCACTGCTCTGTTAATTACAACAGCAAATTGAACAAATGCATTTACAGCGTGGTTGCTGTCGCCATTTCTACATCGGTGTAATTCATGCTTGCAGCCCATGATAGGATTTTTTAATGTCATTACACAGTAGGGCAAAGTCTTCATTTTTAATAACAACACAAATGCTAAAATGAAATGGATTAATATCTAATTTTACATCTTCATTTACATGATGTGCAAAATTATCTTAAATATTTGTTATGGATGGAGTGGCTTTCCACCAATTTAGGCTTTTTTTTGTACTGGAGAATGTTAACATAAATTGTAGAATAAATCATTGCCTTGTAGAGTACCAGAAGGCGCATATAAAAACCCATATCTTTACTGCACATATTTCCCATTAACCATAATCTATTAGTAATTGAAGTTCATTACAAATTCTTGTAGACTTTATTGCTATCATGCTGCATGACATAGTGAACCTGGCTTGCATAACAAGAAGTCCTCGCTGGGAAATATCCTATTAACAATGACAGTGCATTTGTCATTGTGATAATAAATCCAAAGCTGCCTGCAGATTATAAATTATTGCGGCGCCATTTCCACTGTTGTAGTTTAAAAGTTTTGTCAGCACTTCCATTTTAAACCCCTGCTATACAGGCAGTTATAACGACCATAAAAATCTGCAGCAAGCTGAATCTCAGCTTACAAGGTCTCAGTCCGAGAGCATGTTTCTTCCCCCAGTAAGATTCATATTTCATCTACACGAAAATCTTAGAAGCAGAAGCTGTGTTTATGGCAGATTTTTTCTTCTGCATTTGCATAGCTTCTAATTGGAAAAAAACAGGCCATTTGACAAGCAATTTGTCCGCAATCTTTCTAAAGATTTTGGTAGAATTTAAAAATATATCAAGACACAAAGATGGGAGCTGGGTTGAGCTGAGTGTTTGCCGGTTTAGCAGCTGAAAAAGCCTCGATCCTTATCTCCAGGTGCCACGGACTTTGAGGAGGCATTGGGCAAACCCCGCTTCTCTTCAAAGGAGAAACTGAAGAGAAATGATGCTACTTATATGCCTTGCAAAGGTGTTTTGAGGATTAATTACTAACGCTGAAATTCTGGCATCCACTCAAATCATCCTTCATCATGTCTATGCAATTCTTTGAGCTCTATATAGGTTTTAAGTGTTATTAAAAGAAAATTGCCATAGAGTTGAACTTTGAGTGTTAATTATGACTCGAGATATAAATGACATCAGGTCAAATCTTTCACAATTTAACTCCGTAATTGACTTCAGCTCGCTACACCAGAGGATATCTATCTAGCTGAATGCATCTGTCTATCATATTTCTCAAGTGCCTATAGCAATGCATCCAATTAGCTGGAGGTAACCATTATGCCTCAACTGCTCCTAAATAGTGTAGGATGAAGCCTTCACCTCCCTGAAATCACCAGGAAAACTTTCCCTCCCACCAGCAAGGCCAGGTTTTCACATCAGCCTTCAATACATGCTCTGTCTTGAAGCACTGCTCGTGTTTTCATGGGGTTGCTAACGGATTTTGCAGTAAATATAATAATCATCTTTTTGCAT